CTTGCTTTGAGCACCGGCTCTCGGATCCCTGGAGGAGTTATCATTGGATCCCTGCTTCTTGGATTCATCCGGCGCACGAAGCGAAGGGCCAAACGGCAAGTTCCCGTTCTCATCACGTGAACCCAGGGTAGGGTAGTATAGATCTGAATGCCCCAATCTGCCGCAGGAGAAACAAAAGTACGGTAGCTGTTCATACTGAATGTCATACATGTCCACCTTCTTTCTCCTGGCAGAGTCTATCAGGATCCACCTCCTGATCGGTTTTGCTACCTCAATGGAAACCCGCGCCCGCAGATATCCGCCATTGTGATCAAACTTCACCAGTTGCGCATCCTTATCCATCTGCTTGGCTATTGGATTCCACCATGCATCATCCCTCAAATTGTAGGGTTTATGACCCTAGCCCAAACTTGCAGCCGATCAAACTTAACTTCATCCGGCCTCATACACTCATCAAACTCAGCTAACACCACAACATTCTTGTTGATGTGCCATGGCGATCCTCCCCAAACACGGTCCGTATCTCGCTGATTTTCAAACTCAGCCACAAACACGTTGATTCCTGCAGATCGGAATTGCAAACCACGCGGGTTCCCCCATGCCGGCCGAAGAGCGTTGGTGATAGTCTGGATATGAAACTGGTTCCGGTGCAGTACCTTCCCTGCCAACAGCCATTTCGCCGGTCCTCCATCGATCCGATCGTCGAGAACCAGAGGAGTCGCCTCTTCTTCAGATATGTCGAGCTTTCCCAGGGCCTCCTCCAGTTTCTTTCTCGCACCAGCGCCCGCCTCAGGATCGCTCCCTGTGGCGCCACGACCCGCCATCTGCGCGCCCTCCTTCATTCTCGTCTCGCTTCACACCGGCGACGAATCTCCAGATGAATCTTGATTTCACTCCGAAACCCTAATCGCCTTGGGCGCCGCCAGAGCTTTTAGGGTTTTGGGGGAAAAACCGATCCTTGTATTGTGCTGTACCACCTATCTATTTTGTTGGTATCTTCAAAGACTGTTTATTTATTTCCTGATTCTCCAATACACAGACACCGTAGGTAGAACAGAATGCAGTAGACCTTGAGATGGCTTGGCCGTCATTTTTTTAGCACGGACGTACATATGCACATACCCTATCAATGAATGGACACACTACCCCTCTGAGCACATTTGGGAGACCAGGCCGACACTAGTGGGCTGGTTCCATAAAAAAAACTAAAATGTTGAGTGAAATACTTGTCACGTCTCACAGTAGTGCATGGTTTGTTTTGATTGGTGATTGATAAACAAGAAGGAAAAAAAGTAGAAAATCTACATGTTTATAGATCGTTAGTTTAGTCAAGTAGCCAAGGGCATTTCCATCACGAAGGATTCAATCCAGGCACGGCTACCTTGT